GTTTGTTTTTTTTTGTTTTTTTTTTTGTTTTATATAAACAACAACTATGCAACTTAAACTGAGAGAACAATTAACATTGTGATCCACCTTGAAAAGTTTCGGAATTTAATCTGTCTCTCGTATTTTTGTAATGTATTTAACATTTTTTAAGGTGAGTATTGTGTGTGTTAATTTTTAATTACATATACCAGTAAATATTGTTTTTAATTCATTGTTTTGTGTGGATTTGACTTTGTTTTTTTTTTTTTTTTTTTTTTTTTTTATATAAACAACAACTATGCAACTTAAACTGAGAGAACAATTAACATTGTGATCCACCTTGAAAAGTTTCGGAATTTAATCTGTCTCTCGTATTTTTGTAATGTATTTAACATTTTTTAAGGTGAGTATTGTGTGTGTTAATTTTTAATTACATATACCAGTAAATATTGTTTTTAATTCATTGTTTTGTGTGGATTTGACTTTTTTTTTTCTCCATTTGAGCTGCTGCTGCTTGTGTATATCAGAGCGCTGAGGAGTATTTGAATGAATGATCTATTTTGGGTGAAAAAATGGATGACTGTGACAGCTTTGGATATAAAAAAAAAGTTTCCACATTTAATAGTAGTGCAAATCCAAACTATAATTGATAAAAGTGACATGTCAAGAAGTCTTGCAAAATACTCATTTGATGACATTACATTGCGGACATCCCATTCATTTTTTTTTTAATCTGGGTTTAGTGGGGTATTTGGGGCGCTGGCATATTGAACCTGTGCCAGCACTGCCACATGACCAGTGCAGTGATTTCAAAAGAGTCTTTTAAACCCAACCCACCCCTCCAAAATCCCATTTATTCATTGTGCCTCTTCTGCCTCAGTGGGACCCTTTTACCTCATAGGCTGTGTTGGCAATTTCTATTGAATAGAAAGAAAAAGCATTTCCATTCGTTTAAAAGACAATTTGAGAAATGACTGTTTTGAGTCATCAGTGTGGTAATGAACACATTAAACTTGTAAGTCAAGGCGTCACTAGAGAGTGTGAGATAAGGGAGGAGTGAAGGAGTGAACAATTCCGAACACAGATTCCGTGGTTGTTTTGTGTCATACAGCAGAGATTCCGCACAGAGTGGTTCTTATAATACAGCTGAAGAAGTACCAAAGTCAAGTCATAAAAATAGTTTTAAATATATAACCCCCCCTTTAATCAAATCTGTACACTCTGAGAAAAAAACGAATAGTAGTTCAGTGCTTTGGAGAAAAGTCCAGTCTCTTTTTTTTTTTTTTTTTACGCTATTTTAGTTGCCATTTTTTCCTGCCCTGTCTGGTTCCATTTGGGGATCCTAACGAGCAGCACGCCGACCGCCGCCAGAGCCAGCAGCACCCCCAGACTGGGGGGGCCGCAGGGACTGAACTCCTGCGTGACACCCGAGAGCAGAGGGGCCAGCACGCGTCCCATGGCTGTCACCGACTGTCCGGCGCCGATCAGAGTCCCGCTGGCCCGCACCGCTCCTCTCCGCAGCTCCAGGTCGGTGATGCTCGTGCGCCCGACCGTGGTGGAGATGGCGAAGAAGGTTGAGGTGAGCAGCACCTGCCACACGCCCTGCGCGGTGGCATACAGTGAGATGAGCAGGCACGTCAGGAGGGTGGAGTGCAGCAGGAGGGCGGCCATGTTGTTGCCGTACAACTGGGTGACGGGTCCCACCAGGAAGCCGGCCAGCGCCCCCAGAGTGCTGCTGTAGCTGATGAGGTAGCCCGTTATCTTGGGCTTGAGCGAGAAACGCTCCTCCATGGCCAGCGAGAAGTTGCTGTAGTAGAGCATGATGGCCACGGCCATCAACAGGCGCACCAGAAACAGGTCCCACATGTCGGACGAGGCCACCATGCGGATCCTGGAGCCCACCGAGGACAGCTGTCGCCAGGCGGGCTGCGGCGGGAACGCCCGCTTCCTCGGGACTTCCCGGTCTGGGTCGGCCCACGCCGGGGCGTGGCTCTCAGTGGAGCAACCATTGCTGACTGATTTGCTGGAGTTATTAGCGCCGTTACAGTGAAGGAGAATGTCGCCCCATGGAAGCAGCCATACCAAACCTGCAATGAGACACACGCCAATCAAGCACTCCATTTATCCAGAACTCAAAGTTCTTTGGCTTGTTGGTGGAGAAAGTGCTCATGTGAGATTAGGTCAGTACATGTCGCTCGAAAATCCCGGCAGGAATTTTGAAAGGCCTGCTGTCCAAAGGTGGCATTTGTGAGGGCTTCATGACGACTTGGACTTGCCTGCGCGAATTTCTTTTAACCTTTGTCGCATGGAAAAGGAAAGTCATCCAATGGTCTCATTGAAATGAGGACAGAAGGATGGCGTACATTTGAAATAAATAAATACTTTGGGCCCTTTACATTAAAATAAATTTGCCATATGAGGTTTGAAACGATCCAAAATTGAGGAAATCTTATTTTTGAAAGATATGAGCACCGGAAATAGGAAGCATGAACGATTTCTATGAATGCGCTCGAAATCTTCATACAGTCACGCACCCGCATTGATGAGAAAGATGGTGGCACAGGCGAAGGCGGAGGTGTAGAAGCCGCCCTCGTGCTCCGTCAAGTAGCCACCGACCACGGGACCCAGAATGAAGCCCACGCTGGAAGCGGCGTTGAAATGACCCATCACCAGGGGGCGCTCTGCCTCGGACACCAAGTCGGACAGCAGGGCTCTGCAGATGGACAGGGAGTGCTTGAACAGTCCTGAGACGGGAGACAGGCGACAGGCCACAGGCCGGCAACATTAACAAACACACATTTAAATTCATGTGTTGTTGTTTTTTTCTCCCCCCCCCCAGCTTTGTCTGAGTAATTGTGACCACAACTCCCTGCCTACTTTACAAGTACCGTAGTGCTGCTGACAAAGAAAACACTTTGAATTCAATTCATTATTCATAAAAAAAGTATTTCAATGCTGTGCGGTATCTAAAAAAAAAGAAAGAAATGTAAATGAATATTGCTAATAAAACTCGAGATGGACAATACATTTTTTGGTAACAATAATAATCGCGGCAAGTTAACAATGGCCAAATTTTTTTTTAGTTTTTTTTATTAAAGTTCTCTCCAACTACTATTACTACTCCACAAACTATCTGAGCTGCGCACAAGGTAAAAATCCAACCAGTATTGAAAATAAAATAAATGCATAAATGATTCTATATTATGCAACATGTGATTGGCTGTTCCGGGTTGTTATTTGACGCGATTCGCTCACGCACATACGTCATGACGTTGTTCACTGTAGAAAGGTCTACTCTGCAAAACGTGTTGCGAAGCTAAAGTAGTAAGCGAAAAAAGTGTGGAGCGAATGGAAACTGGACTACCTCAAGCGTCACATTCAGCACAAAAGTTATTTGAATGCAGTAAAAGTTGTACAACGATGCAAGATGGGAATGGGGAAAGGTACGTTATTGGCAGAGAGCGCCAAAGACCGAGAGAGGAGTAACGAGCTGTCAATCGTAAACAAATCCAACCCGGAGCAAGTCAAAAATCCTCATCGACAATGTTGTACAAGCCATCAAAATGAATGCATCAATGCTGTCGGTCCAACAAATTCACGACTCCATGGCAAAGTATGTGAGTATACCAGACAGTTGGCGAAGTAAAAACTATGCTTTTGAATTTGTGGATTCAATCAATGCAATACTGTAGTACCGAAAGAGACGATGTGCAGTGTTAAAGATGCACCTTGGCACACCCTTATTGTAAATAAGAGCACAGACATAACGGTGCACAAAATACTCGTCTTGTACATTAAATACAGAGAGAAAAATAGTTTCAATCATAAAACTGTGTTTGGTGGAATAGTCCAGCTGACAACATGCGCTGCTCAGGATATCGTGCAGGCAATAACTCAGTTTTACTCCAAGCTTGAAGTGGACATACAGAGAATGGTTATGCTAACCTCTGATGGTGCCTCAGTAAGGACGCTGTCACGTTGCAGTTCATGGCAGTCCAAGTTTTGCCATAATTTATCCAAAACATTGTTAAAACAGCTATGTTAATATGCTACACTTTTGGTTACATAACTTTTGAGTTTTTCACTGAAAGTGGACAAACACACTTAATAAAGAAGTCCTTTTATAGAAACTATTGCCATCATTTTATTGTTTTAATGAAAACATGTAACTTGAATGTATATGATGCACATGATACTGCCTGACCACAATTTGCATGTCGCATGTTGCTCACAGTGGTCCATGGGGCCGCTCAGGGTGTTTGTGTGTTTGCCCAGACAACAAAAACAATTAGAGGGAACATTGGCGACCAGTTTGATGCGCATTTCTGAAATCCCATTTGCTAAAATACTCTTTTACCGTATCGCGTCCTTAAAAATGAATGATGTGCATCGGTGTGAAGACACGGATTATGGCAATGACTGACATGGATTACGGCAATTATCGACAATGATTGAAGAATGTAGGATACATACAACTATCAACACTTTATTGCTACAGCAAGTGTTTACATTTGCCTCCTCCAACATTCCGAGGAACTCACAATGGCTACTCATGTAATCCCGACCAGTGAAATAAATATTTTCCATTTGCCTTGTGCTACTTCTACTTTCTCAGGAACTACGAAGGGAAACTGGCTTTGGAGAGTAGAAGGTTGGGGATTGGTTGTGAGCACTTTCTCGTCAAGTTATCCACACGGGTCAAATGTAAATGTGTAACTGACGGGTAACGTCTCAAGTGCTTTGCCACTTACCCACGGGGATCCGCGAGAGCACGAACAAAGAGATGCTGGTGGACATTCCCAGCAGGGCGTAGCCGAAAGCGCTCAGCAGCAAGCAAGTCAGCAGCGACTGGCGGCGGCCCACCACGTCGCTCCAGCTGCCCTGAAAACCGCCGATCGCACAGACGGAGCATGAAACACACAATCATGCTCACACACAAATAGACACACTATATGTAAATAATAGAGACTGCATACATATGCAGTAAATAAAATAAACATACATGGTGATCAAATAAATCTTTTTGTTTTTCAAAATTGCAACCTTTACGATTCGGAATGTTTGTCCGACTGAATTGCAATGTCGATTTGAATTCAGCCCTAAGTTGATGACACTTCCAGAGACCAATTGGGACCTTTTACGGCATCTCATAGAGAGGTGTTCCTAATGTAGTGTCTCGTGCACGAGGGGGAATTGAGACAGAAATAGTGGAGACTTTGTATTTCTTGTTAAGGCAACAGCACAGACAGTTGTCTTCAATTTCCATTCTATCTCAAACACACACACACACACACACACACACACACACACACACACACACACACACACACACACACACACAAATAATGCAATAAGAACACAGTGAGGTTGGCGTGTTCCACATGCAGGCTCTTGTAAGCTCAAGATTCCGCCGCAGGGAGCAACAAACGTCTCCTTATATGGCTAATTGGCCGCATGACCCGCCACAATTACACCCAAGTCAGGAGCTGAGCAGAGGCCTGAGAATCTCGCATCAGATGGAACACTTAACTCGGTGGCTTCAAACCCCCCCCCCCCCAGGTTTTTATGAGTATTTTTTTTTTTTTCCTCAAGCTGAGAAAATGTTTATGTTGTGCATGACAATGGTCCATGTACTGCTTGCCTGGAAGCGTGCTTATGAGTGCGAGCATCGTCATTTTTGACCACTGTATATTGTTACCAGAGACAACAGCACGTGCAACCATTTTGGACATAAACTGTCACCATGCCTCATAAGCAGACAAATCGAGAAAGGGGAAAACAATACAAGTTGATCCTCACCACGATTGTGCTTGAGAACAACTGTAAGACGCCATATGTGGACCCTGAAAACAAAAGAAAATTACATTCAGGGGAGTAAAATAAAATACACAAGAAAAAGAGAAATTAGGTCAAGAAGTAGTTGGACAGTGACACATTAAAGAGGAGAGAATCAAAATTCAGATGTTCAAGTGGACTTTTCTTGACAGTGTTTGCTTTCTAACACAAGTCTGAAAGTTTTGTACTAACACTGACAACTAATTAGAACTGTTCATAATCCCCCCATTGATGAAGTCACCACAAAAAAAAAGGGACAAGGACGTGCAGAATTTTTTTTTTTTTATTATATCCACTGTACATATGGACTGAACTGCATTAAAAAAAACAATCCAAGTGATACAATGTACTGTTCATGACTGTTGAGTGAGTAATGGCTACTTCTTACCAACAATACCAGCAACAGTAGGACTTGCTCCGAGCGCTTTGACGTGATGGCTCAACAGTGGGATGATCATGCTCACGCCAAACAAGTCCTATGAAAAAAATACAAAAAAAAAAAAAACCCAAATAAAACTTTGGATTTGTCATCAGAGTAAGTGTCAACTAAACAAGGTTTTAATATGCAGTGGTTCACTTCTAGGTAAATAAAATGTTTTCCTTTTTGGTCCCTGAACGTTTACAACAATAAATATATGAATTACAGACCACTTAGCAGTTTTACAATACTGTACTTCACCATTTAGAATTTGTTAAACTTAACAGAGAGAAAAATCTACAAAAATCAGCTCTTTTCTTTGGGTGGGAGGTTATGAGTGAATGTCATTATTGTTGTTTATGTTGCAATGTTTTCATGTGTTAAAAAAAAAAACGGACGATTTTTGCGGATTTTAAAAGAGCTAATATCTGCCAATGAAATCAGCTGTATGATTAATGGGTTGCGCCCTCATCTAAATGTGACCTGTGATTGGCTAGCAACTACTCCAAGCTGTATCTCCACCTGTAGCAATGTCATACATCTTTAAAGGTACCCCCCCCCACCCCCCCACACACACCTGACATTTAAGAATGTTAGAATGTGACCTTCTATTTCCATTAGGCGAAGACGTGGTTCTAAATATGGACAAATTGGAGGTTAACTAGCCACCCGAAACGTCAAAAAATCAGAAGCTAACGCTCTGGAAAAGGAAGCTCAGCCTTGTTTTCATTTGTCGTGCATTGCTGAGATTAGAGCAGATCCTTAGCTGTTGTCAAACTCTTGATTGAAGCCTCATGGCAAGTCATTAGGTCTTCTGACGGGACCGCTTCACTTTATTTTCCACCATTACTGACCCCAGTGGATTGACTTATTCTCGCCATCTTTAATTAGATGAATGCAGGGTTTGCAAGGTTGTCACCGTACAAAGTTAGTCCTCATCCTGACGGAAAAGAATGGGTATAATCACATTTTGCCATTATGTTGGTTTGTCCAAGACGAGAGGAGATTTGCCTCAAACTGCAACACATTTTAGTGACAGGGATGCTTTTGAACAGGAGACCCTCAGAGTGCACTCTTTGTGTTGCCAAGGCAACCTGTAATGTGCAACATCACCTGCATGGCCACTTTAGGTTGGCCAAACTCACCAAAGGCAAATACTGTACTATACGTATAAGCATCTACAACTCACATGAGCATTTCAATTAAAATATGTCCATTTATGCGTGAGCATTGTTTTCCACACTGAGATAAGAGTGTGTGTGCAAAGACCAAAAAACATTCAAGTGTGTCACTTTACTCACCATGAAGCCAACCACATATATACAGTGAAGAATCCTCGTCCGTCCTCGGAGTTTCTGATACAAAGTACTACATTTGTGGTTGTTCATCTTCCGTCTGTGACCACACGCCTGCCGGCAACGCGTAAGCGCACGTCCCACTTGGGAGCCAACTTGCAAGTCTAAGGTTCGGCGGTTGTCCCTCAAAGGGGGTAACCAACAAATTATCCGGTTTGCATCGTCTTGAAAATCAAATATAGCGCGAACAAAGGCAAGTAATAATAAGTGAAGTAGAGTAATTTTTCACCGACATGCCGGGAGAGTCATTGTTCGTGTTTTGTACAGAAAAAATCCGAGTAGACCGGCCTGACTACCCCGCGGTAACATGAATGGTTGGTGTCAACTATTGACGTCACGGCTAAAGGCGGAAGTGTTTCTCTTCGTAAACAAATAGTTTTAAAATCAATTTTTGTTTTAATGTTGGAAATCAAGGCATACGTGTCCCCGAGCTCTTCTGGTAAAAGATGCAAGTTTTAAAAACATGTATCGATATTTCGTTCACAAAGCCAATTAGACTTTTATCGAAAACACCTATCTTACAGTGCTGAAAACAAAAACTCAAAACATTCGTAATTATTTCATTCACAAAATGTATTTGTTACTTTCTTGTTTTCCCTCATCAGATTTGATGTGTTTAGACCAGTTTCATGTGACGTATGCATACATTAAATCTGGCTGCGCGCGCAACTCCAAGGCAGGAAACACGCTTTACAGAACAAAACATGCCGTCCTCATGCTGTGTCGTGGGTTGTCGGAACAGAAAGAACACACACAGAGAGCTCGTCTTTTATGCAATTCCTGCTGGTAAACACCCCTTCGAGAAAAACCGGCGGAAGTTGTGGCTAGAAGCTATACGACGTGAGAATTGGACTGACGCGGCAATTAAGAATGCTCGTCTTTGCAGTGCTCACTTCATCTCTGGTAAGTACTTGGGAATTAGATATAGCATGTCAAATTATATTCTATGTTGTGAAAGACGAGAATAATGTTCAATTGGTGAAAGTAACAAATGAGTGAAGCAGTTGATATGTAGTCTTTACAGTCACACGTGTTTACAATTTGTGTGTGAAGTAACTCTTCAATGCTTCATGCACGTTAAACACAAACACATGCAGCCATACTAACGCCAAATGATAAAAACATGCTTTACAACACACACAGGTTTGTGTTTGCGCGCGCGCGAGTGTGTGTGTGTGTGTGTGTGTGTGTGTGTGTGTGTGTTTAAAAATCACTGCATATTTATCATTAAAATCCTTAAATTTAATTTTTAAATTTTACAGGAAAAGCATCCCAGCAATATGGTACTCCAGATTTCGTTCCATCTGTATTTCCAGATAGAGCAACTGTTTCACGAAGTAGACACTCAAAACTTGCAAGGTAAAACTGTGAAACCCAGCAGAGTTATAGTTTGTCTTAAATATGAATTTATTACAAGAAAAATACAGTGTAGACTGATGTATGTACACCAAATTGAAAAACGTGTACAGATGTATGAGTTTATAAACTCTTGCAGATAGCAACGCATAAATAAGGCGACAGGATGCAGAAGTGAGCAGGGAGCCTGATCATGAAGAAATGGATATCATGACAGCTGCAGACAGTTTATTGAGCCTTCATTGACAAGTAAAATGAAAGTCTGGACGCAGGACGACCATCACTACTTGACCATATTGGGGAAATGTGGTTCGTCTTTGGGTGAAGTCGTCTCGGTGTATGTTGACGCTTCTCGGCCTAGCTTAGCTCAGTTTATCTTAGAATAGCTTGGCTCACTAGCCGTAACAAAGAGACGCTTTGTGATCACTCAGCAGTGAAAATCGTGTAAAATTGTGCGCAAGGCGGACAGCGGGGTACAACGAGGAACTTTGTTGGGCAAAAGACGACAAGGAGCCACAACGTTGCGAACGACCCGACGCCGTTTGCGAGACGCAGCAGCCGAGAGTTGTGCTTCGTACAGCAGGTTTGCTCCATTTCTTCCTCTCACGTGTGTACTAACTGTTGTACTTTCTATTGTTAGGATTACGATTTTAATCTGTTGTTTTTTTAAGGAAAGAAAGAAAGCAAGGCAGATTTATTTTTTAATATGAGGCTTAAAAAATACACCCACCACTTATATAATTCAATTAAAACTATTGCATGCGAAAGTTCTGTAAAAATTGAAATATTATTTTTCCAACATCATGCAGCCCTACATCAATATAATTAAAATCCACCACATCAAAGTCACAACATAGCATGTATTTGTCTTTGTGTGTCCTGTAGACGTTGGTGAACAGCACCCTGATCCGAGCCACCAGGAGACGCCGCCCTTTCCCATTGGAGGAGAAAAGGAGGAGCAGGAGTCCCCTCACGTGAAAGAAGAAGAAGAGGAGGAGAAACAAGGGCCTTCTTACATAAAGGAGGAAGAACAAGAAGAGGATGTCACGAAGTTCCCATGCCCTGGTATCGCTCTCAAAACTGAAGATGAAGGTCCCAGTGAGGCCAGAGGAGAGGCGGAGCCTCCCAGCACCAGGAAGGAGGACGTCATGAAGTTCCCTTGCCCTGGTATCGCTCTCAAAACTGAAGATGAAGGTCCCAGTGAGGCCAGAGGAGAGGCGGAGCCTCCCAGAACCAGGAAGGAGGACGTCACGAAGTTCCCTTGCCCTGGTATCGCTCTCAAAACTGAAGATGAAGATGAAGGTCCCACTGAGGCCAGAGGAGAGGCGGAGCCTCCCAGCACCAGGAAGTCAAGTCACCACATGACAACAGGAGCTGACGGACAATCACCACCAGACGGACTCTTGGCGCCACTGTCGGATAATGACGACGCAATGTCACACTCTCCCCACAATCAAGATGATGACAACGATGATGATGATGATGATGATGATGATGAAGAGTTTGAAGGTCATGTGACACGTCACACTGACAACAAACGCTGGGAATGTTCTGAGTGTGGGAAAACATATGCTTATGAGGGAAGTTTGAAACGACACATGCAAAAGCACACTGGAGAGAAACCTTGTGCGTGTGCAGTTTGCGGTAAAAGATTTTCAAAGGCGAGGATCTTGAAGCTACACACAAGAACACACACCGGAGAGAAACCTTTTGCATGCACAGTCTGCGGTCAACGATTTTCTCAGAAGGGAAGTTTAAGCAGTCACACCAGAATACACACCGGAGAGAAACCTTTTGCATGCTCCTTTTGCGGCAAAACTTTCTCTCACAAGCGAAGCTTAACAACACGCACAAGAACGCACATGGGAGAGAAACCGTTTGCCTGTTCGGTTTGTGCTAAAAGATTTCCTGAGAAGGGAAGATTAAAACGTCACACAAGAACATACACTAGAGGGAGATCTTTTGGCTGTTCGGATTGTTGTCAAAGGTTCTCTCAAAAGGAAGATTTAAAACAACACACAAGGACACATATTTGTTGAGAAACTTTATACGTGCACAGTTTGTGGAAACAGTTTCTTTAATAAGAAAAATTTGACAATACACACCAGAATACACGCCGGGGAGAGACCTTTTGCCTGATGGGATTCTGAGCAAACATTCACTCGAAACCATTTGGGCAGCCACGCAAGAACGCACTCATACACACTTGAGAAAATTTGGACCTGCTGAGTGTGATATCTTCTTCTATTCTCCGGACCTTCTCCCAAGCTTCCTGTAGACAAGTGCAGAGAATGAGCACTCATGGTGAAACGCTTCATACTAAACAAATGAAATACTGTTCAAATAAGAGAATGATTGACACAATACGCGGTAAGAAATTTGGACCCTTGGTGGCAAGATGGAAAGATGTGAATGTAATCCTGAATAAAATACAACTCTTCACGCATTGGGACTCACGCAATATATATTTATACTGTAATCTTACATTATGAACGTATCTGAAAAGTGAAAGTAAATGTCTTCCTAAATTTGGAACTTAGTCGAAAAGAATGTGCAAAAACCCTGCCAAATTGGAATGGTGAAAAAAGACGGCATCAGAATCAAGCTTTTGGTTCTGCTGTCAGAGCGAAAAGGACTTTTTTTTTTTTTTAAGTCTTCATCAATTATTTCCGTCCGTGAGCTTGAAAAGTTAATTTGATCTGGACTGTACTGTTTTATGAATATAGCACCACCTGCTGGACAAACTAAGCAACCAATAAAACAACTACAGCAATGTGCAAAAATGCTGTCATTTTCATACAGTGTGCAAAAGGTATTTTAAAAAGTATTAAATGTGTTAAATGATCAGCGTTTTATCTTTTAGTCATGCATAACTGCAACAGCAAGTGTTTGGGTGTGGTTAGGTCACATCAGTGTGTAAATTACCCAAGCTTCTCCATGGAGGTTCACTGCTAAATATTCCCCTTAGATGCTAGTGAGCCAGTAGGCCAATTGGTTCATGTTGTCACATGCCTTTCACCCTGAACAGGTATTGACATCTGACGTAATATGTTATATTATGCTATGATATACACTGGAATGCTCCAAAAAGTCAAAACAGTTGGAAGTTCATACCACATTTTCCTGGAAAAATCTGCCATGGAAGCTGTACATTACTTGGACAGCAAATCATCATCATGTGATGCGATGCTTTCGTAAATCTTGTGAGGACTCACTCACAATTGTTTGGGGCTTGGTACCAGTGAAGCAAAGATGAAAGGTGCGATGATGACCATCTCGAGCAGGAAATCAGGGATGGTGCTACACTGCGGCTAGGAGGCGCTATAGCCCAGTCAGAAATCTGTTCAAGCCCCAGTTAAGCCCGTCCAGCATTTTAGTTGATATTTTAAAATGTATGTACTTTTTTTTTTTTTTTAATCCTGGAGAATTCCCTCCAGGAAATTGACGCCCACCCGCTTCCCAAAAATAAAAAAAATAAAGTCCAGTAGCTTTGAATTAGTGCCAAGAGTTTAATTTGAGTCAAAAAGGATAGAGGGTGCAAAATGCTCATCAAGAAAAAAGATTCTGCAAATAGTGCAAAGCTCAGTCAAAGTTGACGGGAACAAGTTTTGCTCTGACCAGCCAAAAGAGGACAGAAAAATGCCATGGGAACACAAAAGCGCTGAAACTTGATTGGTCATCAACATAATACTACTTGAAGCAGTGGATCCTCGTGAAACGCTACGTTAAATGGCGGGATTAGATTGTTAGGTATTAGTATAACCTTGTGAAACAAATATTAGAATTTCTATTTTAAATGTAGCTCAGTGCTTCTTCTAGTCTTGAGGCCACTGACGGCCCACCAGCGACAACAATTTTATATATCACGTGCGCTTTGCTGTTGGGGAAGAATGTTGTGTCCTGACAGTCTCACCCTGACATTCCCGCGACATTCTGGGTGTCCAGTTGCTCCTGGTCCCATTCCATACACACTCCGGCAGCAGTTAAGAGTATTGGGGCAGCAGCCGCCTTCACTCAGACCTCAAAATAGCACAGAGGCTGTGTGACGGGTGGGCAGGGGGTGTCCAGAGAGGAGTCATATGCACAAAACAGTCAACGGTCATACATAGAACAGTTTGACACACTGGTGTGGATGTGCCCCAACGTCGTCTCAACATTGTCACTTGCGTCCACTTGCTGTAGTTAACCGAGCGTGCTTCCAGAACCACTCAAGCATTATTTTCCCGCCCGCGTGGCCATGAAGCTCAACGTGGCGTTGTTTTTTGCGGGTCTGTTTGGGGCCATGGCGGTGGTCTTCATCCTGCTCTCATTCGGAACCGATTACTGGCTGCTGGCCTCGGAGAGCTGCCCTCCACCTTCTGATGACGGCCACACCGCTGAGGAGGTAGGTGATAAAGGAACAGAAGTTGAATGACTACAAGGCAAATGATTTGTAAGTCAAATGTCAAATAAAACGTGGCGCTCAAACCTTTATCATGCATGCATGACCTCAGGGAACCTCACGAGAGCTCAGTTTAGGGAGCATCTACAGCAATGGTGGGTAAACTTGTACTCCAGAGACCCCTCATGTGTAGATGAGGCAAAACGAGTTGTTCAAATGTGATTAATTGGTCCAGAATAAGAATGACCATGTTGTTTGCTTAAAACAGCCACGCAATTTTGCCTAAAAGTCTGCTAGCTTAATGCTAACACACGATGGGGAACAGCATTGACAAGCTAAGGAGTAGCGCAGGTGTGGCAGTGTTGTGACACTTTAAAACGTAGTCACTGCCAACCATTGGAGAGCATTTAGCCATTTTCAAGACCAGGAAAAAAAAAAATATTCTGCCTTTTTTGGTCTTTTATAATCAGCAGTAGCAAAAAAAAATTCCCCCAGTGGACTCACAAACTATGCTGATCACATATCAATCTCACCAATTGGTGGTTGTGCATCAGTTAAGTTCTTTCCAAGTTTGAAATTTGCAGTGGAGTAGCATCAGACGCTCACCCCACCCATCACCGTTGAAAAAAATGAAATATAGACAGATACAGTCATAAACAGATACTTGTCAATGGGAGTGACGAAGCGACGATTATTTGAACACAAACGGTGGAGCAACATATACTGACAAGTAATATAACAATACTCATGGATCCATATTCTTTATCTTCTTCAAAGAATATTATTATTACTGGCTTACTGAGGGTGGCATGAGGATCGCCATGTGTATCAGTGTGCTGGTTTTATACTGCCCCTGGTGGCTAAGTCACACATACCAGAAGAAGCGATGGCCTTTAAATTGAATCACAAAATGCGGCAAAAACGGTTTACTTGTTATAGGATTGGAACAAATCATTGCCATTGTATCCAAAGGGGTGGGGGGGCGGTATTTGGTTGAAAGTCATCGGCGTCACTCAACAAGTTATGTCCAACTCTGGAGGCTCGACTGTGTATGCTTGGTAGTCACATTCCAAGTGGTTTCTCCCAGTCTGGAAGCTCCAATAAGGAGATGAAATGCATGGCAGAGAGGCCTCGCCATGGGACTTGTTCATGTAAGCACATTCACAGTTGAGTGTGTGTGTGTGTGTGTGTGTGTGTGTGTGTGTGTGCGTGTGTGTGTGTGTGTGTGTGTGTGTGTGTGTGTGTGTGTGTGTGTGTGTGTAGCTATGCAAAGCTTTCAGCACGATAAAAAAAAACAAATACCAGCGGTGGAATCATGTCGGATTAAATATCACCAATGAGAACACATCTCGCTTTAGAGCAACGGAAGCATCTTGCTTTTGGTTTTGACGATAGCTCTGTGATATATAAAGAGGGGGGATATAATGTAAATACACCCTTAGCCACAGCTGTTATTAGTTACTGGGTGCATCTTTCACTCAATGGGCAAATCATTAGGAACTCTTGCACTCTTGCCGTATCACAAACTTAGCCTTTACAAAATAATGCTCACGTTTGAGATCTTGAATTGAATATGTATTTTATAGTTCCTATAGTTGGCTGAGGTCAAAATATCAATAGAATTCAAGCACATTGTCTTATCTCTGACAGATTCATTCAAAAGTGAAAAACATTCAGACCTACTTCAGTACACCCCCTTACCGTAGCCCACAGGCCCCTGTGTGTGATGACACAGAACATCTCATAATTCCTAGATTCTTTTTTTCCCCCTCCAGCTTGGCGATATGTCGGTACAAAACTACACCGATGGAGCCATTTCGTACCACGAGGGCTTCTTCTGGAGGTGTTCTTTTGTAGGCAACGTGCAAGAAGATGACCTGCAATGGACACTTTGGTTCAGTAAGTCAGATTTTGGGGACTCATTGATTGGCAGTACGGTCAATGTAGGCATTGTTATTGTTGTTTAACATTGTGCCTATGGAAAAAAAAATCTACATGTATTCTTTTACTGATTCATAGTATCAATCAAACAATACAATAACGGGCATGATGATAAATCGCAGTATTCTAATCTCCACCTGAGAATACCACTACCTGTGATTGCTTCTTTGTATGCCTGTGCGCTCCGATTGGCTGGTGATCATTCAAGGGTGTACCCAGCCCTTAGCCACAACCCTAACGAGAATAAATGCTATAGAAAACTGATGGCGAGAATATATTCATTCATTTCATTTCTATTTGGCTTTTCCTCCGCAGCAAATCAGCCTCACCTCAAAGTGTGTATGCACGCCTACCTCTTCCCATTCCCGGTATCCCAACACACACACAACGCCACGGCCTATGAATCTGCCATCAGTAAGTGTCTGTATACTGTATTTGATTTTATGATCATTCCGTGGATCCATTTGCAATAAGTGTGTTTTTCTTCTCAGTATACAGAGGCTTCTGGAGCATCTTCATGCTGATTGGCGTGGCGGCCGCGCTGCTTGCCGGCTTCTTCATCATTTGCGCAGCTCCCTTCGCCAGCCATTGCTTGTACAAAACGGGAGGTGGCTTCTTTCTGGCATCGGGTGAGACTTTCAACTGAATATTATTGATCCCTATACAGTGCTGCGGAAACGTGTCTCCTCATTTCAGATTTCTTTGCATATGTATCGCACTTTAATGTTTTAAAAAAATCATTACAATTTAAAAATCTCACAAAGGCAACCAAAGTAAGTTTAATATGCAGATGAGTGAATTTAATAAGGGGGGGATTAAAACCCAATCTGGCCCAATCACAACAAGTCATCCAGGTCCTGAAGTAGCAAAGCAGCTCCAGACCATCACCTTGTCACCACTTGTTTGAATCTTTGCATGATGTTCTTTTTATCAGATGCTGTTTTTTTCACACCAAATATAATGGGTTCCACACCTTCCAAAAAGTGGCTTTTGTCCACATAGGTCCTGACAGGTTTAAAGTTGTCTTTAATTTAGAAACAGAATTTACTTGGGCTGCGTTTACTTGGGCTGCGTTTGTGAGATACTGATATGACATGGGCAAGTACTTTACTGTATAGTGACACAATCCTGATCATTATTAGGTTTCTTCCTGCTGTGTGTGGTGGTGATGTACGTGCTGTGGATCGAGGTGTTAGACGTGGTGGACATCTACGTGAATTACCGGCGTTCCACCATGTGTTCAGATTTTCAGCTGACCCTCAACTATGGCCTCTCTTTCATCTTCGCTCCCATCGGCATCTTTTTCTCTCTGCTGGCTGGCCTCCTCTTCCTCCTGATTGGCCGAACCATCAAGAACCACTAACTCTGGAGAATCAAAAGGGAAACGTTTGGAAATCAGAATACATTCAAGAGTTAATGAGTTAGAATACTGTGCAAAAGACTTAGACTACTATGCTATATTGACAATATATAACTAGAAAGACACTCATTAGAGTGATATACTTCCCTGTTAATAGAGCAGTCATAGCTATGTGACCCACTGCACCGCCACAATCGGTAGTGACCCGGCTCTTTAAAAAAAGAAGCATTAATTTTTCCAATATGCAACACATCTTCTTCAGAGATGATTTTAGATGATTATTAATAAATGTATACAGACCAAAAATAATAATTGAGATTTCTTTACCTTTTTATTCTAAAATAAAGTACTTCTTTCCAAAAGGAAAAAGTTGTACATTTTTGATTGACACTGTCAAAGAGAAATCATTAACAGGTCACAATGGTGGTTGTTATGATTGCTGGGGATGGACCTTTCCTTCTCAGACAGATCCTTGATTATTAAAATGTAATCGGTCATTCCTCAGCTCATACGATGCGTGAAATACTGTAGTCCTTTTTAATTCAAATGGACAGCTGTCTGCATGCTCAGAACACAGAAAAAGACAGCATTTTGTACATACGCATGATGGTTGCAGTTTTATTCTCAATTTAGACATTTAGATTTTTCTACTCCCAATGTTTTTTTTTTTTTTTCTTGTCTGTGAAAGATGGTTGAAATCTCTGTTTGAGTATTTAACGTTGCCGACCCCTGATCTCTGTATTTTGTGTGTGTGTTTTTTTTTAATGTGATGGCAATACATATGTCACAGTGGATCCAAAAAAAGTTTAGTTGTTTATACATGTTTATTAATGATTTACAAAGCTGTTGAAACATCATCATTGCCCTCTTAAAGAAAGAAGTTTATGAAACCTCCTTAATATTAGTTTTCCTGTAAACTGGTAGACCAAGGGAGAGTATAGTCAGTACATAATTACACAAGTATTTCAATATGTACACAAAAATAAACAACAAAAAACAACAACAACAACAAATCAAACAATACAGTACTGTATCCACTTGATGTGTATAGTATTACGTTTGTTGTGTAGCAGGATGATTTTCATAACTTTTGTGTAAATAAAAAAATAAATGTGTATTTGAATAAGTGTCTGACGCGTCCTGTACAGCACGGGTCCCCAAACGACCGGTCCGCGGGGCATTTGGTACCGGGCCGCACAATAACAATTTACTTTCATTCCCTCGTATTTATTTTGGAATACGAAAAATATTTTATTTTGAAAAATTACCCGATTCTCCGTTATATCCGTCTGTGTCACTCTTGACGCACGTCAAACCACGCTTCTCCGTCACGTGACTGATTACGCTAACAACAAAACGCCGGAGCTTGCTAGATAAGTAAAATAAACTGCTGGAGATCGCAAATGACGGCGGCCTTAAAAGTACGTTCGAGACAACAACTCTGCCGGTGTTGTGGATTCAAGTTAAGGCTGAATACAGTACTCTGAGATCGCCACAATAGCACTGTTGCTATTTCCGACATGCTACCTGTGTGAGGCTGGGGTTTTGTGCAGCAACGGCGACTAAAACAAATTTACGAAGTAGACTCGACATAAAACACACTCTTCAGGTGTCATTGTCTCCTATTACCCCGAGATGGGACCACCCGGTTGCAGAAAATCAAGCACGGGGCTCGCACTGATTCATCATTGGGGTGAGTTGACATTTTCATGCACTTTGAATTTGCGTTGTGTCATATTTTGAAGGCATTAAACATTACCATAGCGAAAATATTGTCTGACATAAACCGGTCCGTGGGGCAAAAAAGGTTGGGGACCCCTGCTGTACAGTATTTGGGTCTCTCAAAACATTTTGTTGTTGGAGAAAAGAAAACAGCTGGCTGGCGAAAACTCCAGGGTGTACCCTGGCACTCAACCAAAGTCAGTTGCGATAGGTTTTGGCCCATCGGCCACCTTAACGAGGGCAAGTGGTGTAGAAAGTGTCTGTACGGATGGAACAATGACGGGGGAAAAGTCTCCAAATGGCCACAAGGAGGCAGTGTAGTTCCATCTGAGCCTCGGCCACAGCCCCCAGAAGAGAGAGGCGGACGCCCTATTTTGCTTCTGCAGCCTCCATGTGGAGTGCATGTGGTGTTATGCATCTCATCACAAGTTGAGAGGCAGCATGAGAGGAAGATGAAAGAATTCACACCTCCCGGCTGACAGACGGATGCTAATTTCACTCATGAATGGAGCATTTGATCGGGAATGAATGGTCGCCGCCGTTGAATCTCATGTGTCTCAATCAACTGTTTGCCTCTTTTCCATGTTAATAATACGCTTTTTGTCTATATAACGTGTTGTTTGTTGCTGGTAAAAATGGGGATCGGCACGTCCAAAATCCACGGAGGATGTATAGTCCACTGGTGTTCACGTTCTCCAAGGGACTGCACACAGAAAAACGGAAGGATGTGAGGTGGCGATATTGATGTTCTTCATCTTTTTTTTTTTTTTAAATTGAGCATACTCAAACCAATCTAGAAGCTCTGGACATACCAACAAATAGATACAGAGGTACCTTGAGATACGAGTGACACGACTTTAATCTGTTTATTGCCAATCCCAGTGATTGCTGTCAAACTAAACATTAAAGAAAGTGAATTACATGTTGTAGTCAAAGCAACTACACAATTTTGCCTGATACTACCTTCATGCTAACAAACAACGAAAACATCATGGTGGGCTGCATTTGAGTACCATTTTTAAATTTTTATTTATTTTTTTTTGTGATGGGAAGCAGTGACTGCAAAAAGTGTGACAATAACCATGCAACAGGCTGTTGATTCCACCAAACATTTTTAGCAGCTTTAGCAGACGCGTGTCAACAAAAAAGCTGGCTAGCGATAGTGGTGAAATACATCATCAGTTGAGCAAAACAACACCAACAGTTTGTTGTTATCCAGGGGATACAAAACCACAAATCATAACTTTGTGTGACCTATTCCTGTTAACTAATAAATGATGCTTGAAGAACTTTTGGAATATCAAACTCGTGGTCATTGTACTGCATATATCACAGCTGTGGTTATCTTCGACAGTCGTGATGCGTACTCCAGCTTTCTCCTACGTTCAAAAAAATATGCATGTTAAGTTCATGGAAGCCTCTAAATTGTCCATAGGTGCGAATGTGAGTGTGAATTTTTGTTTGTCTTTATATTTTTGCCTCGTGACCATCCAGGGTGTACTTTCGGCTCCAGATCAGTCGGGACCCAATCGTATGTGGAAAAAAAAAATGGAAGTATACATGGTAAAAAGGATAACAGCTTAACTTTTGACTGTATGTGGTTCAATAAAAAAGAAGAAAAAAAAACCGCAGGGGGCCACAAATGACTCACGACCGGAGTTTGAACCCCTGATGTGATCCAAAATTGCAGCGTATACTTGTAGAGGACAAGCGCAGTTCAAAACAAGATCGTACCGCCAAGGTTGCTAGATGCTAATATGATGTAAGATGTAATCACATGATTAGTTCGGCGTCTACCTGCAGAAAAAAAAAGTCTCTTGAGGATGATGTTTCTTATCTGCTTCACTTCCTGGTTTGAATGAAATCGTAATAAGATTAAAAACGAAAAAAGCCTCTCTGCACTATATCCCCAGCTTTTAATGCTGGTGTGCGGCACGTGGCCTTCCAATGCGCCATGTCATCAGAGTGGGAGTTCCAGCTGAATTGAACACTGTTCTGCATGATTGCCCGTGATAATTGTGTGTTGATAGGGAGCGCCGGAGATGGAGTGTAATTTCCACCGAGAGATTCCTAAACAAATACCTGATGCGAGGCGAGGCGGCGGTGGCAGCGGAGGGATGGGGAAGGAGGTGAGGAGGAGAATAGAGGATGAGGTGAGACACTTGATGATGAAAGGGCGGAATGGGAGCACGGCGAGGAAGCAGATAGGATTGAATCAAGTGGGATGGAACTCGACTGAAACATGCACGAGAACCGAAAGATTTGCCACAAATGTCTGTCGGAAACATGGAAATAAAAAAAAGGAAATACAGTCATATCTCAATTTACAAATGACCCGACTTAAAAGATTTTTTTGGAAAATCTTGGCTGAATTTTTTTGGCACGCCAAAAATTTGGGGTTATGTGCGCTCGGTAGTGGCAATGAAGTTTGGCAGCTTGGAAACGATTCTTCAATAAGGAGGCCAGATGCTTGCTTTCTTGCCACTCCCAGTTGAAGTTTACTGAAAAACTAAACATAAAACAAAGAGAATTAAATGTTGTGTACTACAAACAAACCACTTAGCCTCACGAAAGTCTGCTAGCTTAATGCTAACACACACTGCCAAATGCCAAAGGCAGAATAACAAAACTTGATGGATGTTGCGGTTGGTATAACCCTTTGATGTGAAATGTCATCAAGGGGAATCGTAATGAGGAGTGCCACTGATGTAAATTCAGGCCAACTAAATTTTTTTTCAAAAATGGTGGTCAGGGGAGAAAACCCTTGACCAATTCTGGTTTAATCATTCAAAGTAAAACAAAACACTAACTATGGCCAGCAGATGACAGCATTCGGTCTCTTTGGGATGAGATCATCATCGATCAAAACAATGCTTGACTCTTTTGAATATGGCAGACCTCGGGAAATTCCACTTCAAGCAGCTTGTGGTTGATCAAAGTGTTTGTCATGGTAAAAGTTTTTGTCATGTGCCAAAAAAGAAATAAAAGACGCCAAAGTTTTCTCTAAATGTAGAAGAAATAACTAAAATATACTTTTTTTCACAAACAGCTTTCGTGTGTGTGTGTGTGTGTGTGTGTGTGGGTGTGTGTGTGTGTGTGTGTGTGTGTGGGTGTGTGTGTGTGTGTGTGTGTGTGTGGGTGTGTGTGTGTGTGTGTGTGTGTGTGGGTGTGTGTGTGTGTGTGTGTGTGTGTGGGTGTGTGTGTGTGTGTGTGTGTGTGTGGGTGTGTGTGTGTGTGTGTGTGTGTGTGGGTGTGTGTGTGTGTGTGTGTGTGTGTGGGTGTGTGTGTGTGTGTGTGTGTGTGTGGGTGTGTGTGTGTGTGTGTGTGTGTGTGGGTGTGTGTGTGTGTGTGTGTGTGTGTGGGTGTGTGTGTGTGTGTGTGTGTGTGTGGGTGTGTGTGTGTGTGTGTGTGTGTGTGGGTGTGTGTGTGTGTGTGTGTGTGTGTGGGTGTGTGTGTGTGTGTGTGTGTGTGTGGGTGTGTGTGTGTGTGTGTGTGTGTGTGGGTGTGTGTGTGTGTGTGTGTGTGTGTGGGTGTGTGTGTGTGTGTGTGTGTGTGTGGGTGTGTGTGTGTGTGTGTGTGTGTGTGGGTGTGTGTGTGTGTGTGTGTGTGTGTGGGTGTGTGTGTGTGTGTGTGTGTGTGTGGGTGTGTGTGTGTGTGTGTGTGTGTGTGGGTGTGTGTGTGTGTGTGTGTGTGTGTGGGTGTGTGTGTGTGTGTGTGTGTGTGTGGGTGTGTGTGTGTGTGTGTGTGTGTGTGGGTGTGTGTGTGTGTGTGTGTGTGTGTGGGTGTGTGTGTGTGTGTGTGTGTGTGTGGGTGTGTGTGTGTGTGTGTGTGTGTGTGGGTGTGTGTGTGTGTGTGTGTGTGTGTGGGTGTGTGTGTGTGTGTGTGTGTGTGTGGGAGGGGGCATTGTTTGGTCAAAAATAGATGATTTGGGCGAAACCAAACCATGTTTGACTGCTGATTACAATAAATAAATATTAAAATTCCAGTCAAAAAACATTTCTTGTGATGAAAGAAGAGAGTCTAATCTTTCATTTGATACTTTCTCTGTTTACATAAAACACAATATTCTGTGATTGGCTGGCACTTGAAAGTTCTCTTTTTTTTTTTTTTAAACCCTGACAGGGACAGCCGTTACTACAGTGGACAGCTTATCATGTTATCGGGTTACAGGGTGCATGAAAGGGTTAAATGGCTGACTTTGAAAGAGTCAAGCAACAGATATTTGAACACAAAAGATGCAGCAACACATGAACAGAGACAATACGCAGTCGTAATACTCACCGGCATAAATGTCGTTTTTACTTTTTGTGAAAAAGGACTACTATTGCAGTAACTTACTGAGCTTCAAAGGGACCGTCTTCGTCGCCTATTTATTTTGTAAGTAAAATACTGTCTCCCTATGGCTAAGGTGCGCAC